TGTTGGTTAGACCCATGGAGAAGGTCTCTCTACCTTCTGAAACAACCAAATGAAACTGATTCAACAAATCGGGATCCAGCGTACATTCAATCACCGAAGAAATCAACTTGCGAGGGACGAGGATGGGCTCTATTCAGTCGTGGCTGAATCACCAGTGCAACCCGAACAGGCACACGAATGTGTTCAAGTAAAAGGAAGATATTTGTAGACTCCTCTATGTGACTGTGCAGGGATTTCTCTGTACAAAGCATCCTTCCAACCAAAACTTCTATTTGCAGGCCTTCTTCATACCACCACCAATATTTCTCGTGCATCGCTACTTCAGTGAAATCCTTCAGTTTGTCATGCATACCAGTGTAAGTCTGTTTGTTGAAAATATGTATTTACATATAGTATATATAGTGTAGCAGATCACTGATTGTGAGTAAAATGTTTTATCCGCGATATCAGATTCTGAGCGCTAAGCGTTGAGCGTTGAGCGTTAAACGTTCTGTTGCGAACGACGGTTGTCGACGGTGAGCAAACTCTCGATCGAATTTTAATTGGTTGTATTACTCGCTTTTCCTCAATTTTTCTGTGTACGGGTCTGATATTTTCTTTCTCGAGCGGTCTAATGTGACGAGAGTATACCATTAGAAAGAGTTCAACGTGGTTTTGCTTCTGAAATGACGTGCTCCAACTGAGAGACAATCAGCGGTAACGCGGACGCTAGCTCGTCCTCGACGCTCTGCGCTCAACGCTCAACGCTCTACTATGAAAGCGCTCTATGCGGCTAACACATAACTAGCTGCTCTCTGTTATATGATCAGCCTTTATGTGACGTTTTGATTCAGACTACTTTTCAGTTAGTGGGTGATCTAGGGCCATTGGGGATCGTCTTCAACACGCCGTCACATCATCGAGTACATCATGGACGGAATCCTTATTGCATTGACAAGAACTATGGTGGAGTGTTTATCATTTGGGATAAGGTAAGTTTCTCGCCACAGAATTAGAAGGCAAGGATTGTACTCAATATGTAATCACTAAGATGTAGCGTTGCGTTTCCCTTGGCAGATATGTACATGTGCGACCGAACGGCTTCGTCATGTGATAATTCTTGGAAGCTTAAAGATCATTCTTTTATTTCTGCCCTTTTCAGTAGGATTTCTTCCCTCCTCAGCTTTAATCTTCGTTCGCAGCGTTCAGGCTCAAATGCCTCTCAAATCCACAGCGCTATTTCGCAGCTATTGTTTCACCCCTCAATTCACCGTTCCTTCAGCTCCATATGATGTTTCCATTCTGTCCATGGCTTAAGAGAAATACATATTTGGCTAGGCTGGACTTTGTTTTACCGCCACAAGGACTGCACAGAATAGTCACGAACCCTCGCGACCGCGCGCTCATTTTCCACACTATGTGCCCACGTCTCAGCGCCTTGCCATTTTTTGCATACTTGTAACCACTGATATTCCATGGAAATTACAAAATAGTGGAAGCTCGTTTCGAGACTATCCCTAGTGAGCTTCTCTGATCGTTTGAGATTATTCTACATCATCATATTCAGCTTATCATGTATATTTTCTACTTCTACTCATTCAGATGTTCGGAACGTTCGAGGCTGAACGAAAAGACGATCCACCGATATATGGACTAGTGCATAACGAAAATACTTTCGATCAAATCTATCTACAGGTGATCAGTCTTTCACCGTAATGCTTCAAGAATTAGGGCTGTTGATCGCCCTGAGCCATCCACTGCTCTCTAAAAATGAGGATTAATAGCAGAATCATCGTCTCTTCCAGCGGTTGTCGTAATTTTAGCAGGGCTGAAGAAAAAGAACCCGAGTAGCACTGATACGTGAGCGAGCGATTTGGCCTGTTGCTTA